CAATACTTTCAGAATAGCTTTCTTCGATGTGCACCTGGAGTACAGCCTTCTGCAGAACTTGGTTTTATGACCTTATTCTTAAAACTTAATCATGTGTAAAAGCACAAGTGTATATCGCAATTCATACACATATTTCAGATAATACTTGGAGGATTATCAAAAGATGAAGTGTGGACCAAATGGCAATAAAAACTGAGAACGTTATGAAAAGGTACAGAAGCTGAATTTTTAAGGAAACCAGAACTATGGGTCTGATGATAAAATTTTGAGCATTACTGCTACCTCTGCAACTGCCTAGACTCAAGATCCCAATGGCTTAAGTGCCTCATCTTCTCACTTAGGAGGATTCTTCACAGCATTGTCATCTTTCACAAAGATTTCCTGTTTTAATAGCAGGCACATTGAGCTTTGAAGAGTTTAACCGACAGAACTTTTACATGCCTTCCTTATTTTCCAAGTAGCTGTTGGAACTGAAGTGTCTCCTCTCAGCATGCTGACACTCACAGGAGTTTTCTATTCATTCTGCAATGCCTGTAATAGCTGGATAGTTAGCAGTGTCCAAAAATATATGTAGGCATGCGCACTTTCTAAATACAACACTTGAATTTTGTCATTTTTCTGACCCAGAAAGATTTGGTCAATTATCTCTCCTCTTTGGGAGGAGGCAGAGCATGGATGGCAGTGTGCTGTCTTTTCTGAGTGCCCAGTGTTTCAAGCCAGGAAGAGTATAAAGCACAGTATTATTTTGGAGGTAGGCTACCCGTATGCCTTATTTAGTGTAAACAATAAATCTGGTAGCATTAATATCTTATTTTTCCTGGAAGATAAACAACACTGTTTCAAGCTCTACAGAAAGAAGAAAAGAAAAAAGCCAAACCAAACATAGATACTGGTAAAAAGCTTAAAAATGATGTGACAGAAATGAGGCATAAAACGTGAGCCAATTTTACATTAGTGGCCGACTTCTTGGGATTGGGAGTTTGGTTTTTGTATCTTTGCTTAACCAAATATAAACTTCTATGCTATAAAGCAATCCTGGAACCAGATTCACTTTCTGAATGTCTTTCTACCCAGCAATTGAGATTTCTTTGTGAAGAATGCTATTAAAAAGAAGATAGCACCAAGGCTGCACATCTGTTTCTCATTTCAAAACAAGTTCTTTTACTCTAAGCCTCTATTTTTTAGCTCCTACCATGCAATTCGTTCTTTCTTCTTCCAGTAAACAGACAAGAATAAAAAGATTGCTAATAAAATGGGTTCCTGTGTGTCATTTACACAAAAGGCTTTAGCAGTGCATTAATTTGTCCCTGTTGTGATAATGTGCATCCACAGATTCATTTGTTCTGTTAAAATGCCGTCATGTGAAACATCAGTGGTAGCTCTGGCTTGGTAAAATGGAACTGAGGTTATAGCATCAACCCCAGAGGAGTTTTACACATGTCATGAAAGAACGTGGGTTCAAATTGTGGGTTCTCCTGACCAGTATTTGTAACAGACATGAAATACAGAAGGTATGCTGCTTTCTAATTCTCTGCCTAAGCTCTGAAGTGTGACCTGTGAGTGAGTAAAAGATAAGAGTTCCTTAATCTGTAGTGTTCCACCTTGCCTTGCTAGGCAGAAGAATTACATCCTTCTGGTGGGTTTTGTTGTTGCTTTGCAGATTTTTCTGCGTGAGAAAATTAACTGCTAGATAGTGACATGCCACTGAATGACTGGGCAGTGACATGTTTATTCCCAGAAAAAGGTTGCGAGGGATTTCTTACATCTGTGGTCAGATAGTAAGTAATTTGAGATCAATAATAACAAAAATTACAGCATCTCTCAAATATTTTCCTCCTGTAAAACAGTTATTCAGAAGGATCGTGTTGATACCAACTGTACTGTTAGCAGCAAAGAAAATTGTTAAGAACTGAAAGAGCAAACTCATCCCAACCGTGGGCCTTTAGGCTCTGCTGGACATGATTAAATAGGAGAAAATTTCCTTTCCGCAGAGCAATAAATTGGGCGCTTACTAAATCTGGAAACATTTTTTAGAATTATTTTGTGCCTATTGTATGTCAGGACTGGCTTTATTCCTGATGACCTGCAGAGTATTCCTGTGTGGTCTCCTGGCATAGAAGTTAGAGATGAGTTTTATTTTGCCTCATCGCTTTTATTTTTTATATAATTTTTTAGTTCTATTCAGTGGCTATTGAACAGATGTATGCTACATTACATTGATCAGAGGACAGCTGGCACTGATTTTTGTAGTGAAGGTTAGATATGGGCAAGTTAATGGTGTTTATCCCTTTTGTAGTATTCATCTGAATTAGGAAGCAAAGTCCCTGAAGGTGCCAAAATATACTTTCAGTTGCTGCCTGTATTCAAATGATTTCATTACAGCTTTGCCTTCTGTAGTGGTCCAGCCAGTGCTCAGGTAGCCAACTGCCTGGTGCTGCCAGGTTGTTCTCTGGCTCCCTGGTATGTTGTTCTGTTGTTTTAAAACTACTTAACAGGTATTTCTATTCAGCAGGCTCTTCCCATGATAAAAACCAAGTAATTGTAATCAGCAAGTATGCTTTTTGTTAGGGGGTACTATTCAAGAAAAATACTCTATATTGTCATACTTCAGATTTAGGTTTTTAGCATACTGTGCCTGTAGGCAAGTTAGTTACTGTAGCCTGAATGTGCTGTGGTAGTGCCGTGGCAGGTCTAGCAGGGTGACATAATGGAGTTTCTACAGGGGAAACAATTTTTTTAATCTCCCCACAACAATAGTGAATTTGCTCTTACTAATGTGCATCATTTCTACCCAACCTTAAAAAAGACATAGAAGCTACAGTTCACTAGATGCAAAAATAATACACCTTAAACTCATGGCTTATTGTATTGATAGTAATATTTTAAAAGGCACTTGACGGAGGGCTTCTTGGTCTCTTCTGTGCTAATCGCAACACAAAGGCCACTTGGATTTAATAAAAATTCTGCCAGGTAATTAATCCAAAAGTAACGCTAGACGTTGTGGATGTCAGTGTCGTCATGCAGTCTGCTTTGTATGAGTACGTAAGAATTCATTTATAGCCATGGCAGGGAAAACGGGAAGGTTAAGCCCATCACTGAAAGAAACCAGGGCAGTTTATATAGAGCACCCTGACACACTGAAGTAATGGACTTACTGCAGAAGCAATACCTGGAAGTTTTCACCTCAGGCTTGAGTCAGCTCTTTGGCAATGAGGATCAAGGCACAGTTAGCCAAGTAACACCAGTAACCTGATTTAAAGGCTGTTTGATAGACTTCTTGTTTATCGTCAGGTTGCACTCAGTTCCCTGCTTGGTTCATAATATTTGTATGTCCTGAGGTAGTATACATCTTGTAGCGACTTTTACCTCTGGGAAGAGACCAAAATATCTTAGTGTTATTGTCCCCACATTTCTCTGATGTGCTGTAATGTTTTTTTAATATATATGTGTAATATACCTCTTTTTTTTTCCCCTTTCTTCTTTTTTTCCTTTCTGGTTGTATTTATCGATCATTCTACAAATACACAAAAACCTATCTATGGCAAAATGAATCTCTGAAGTATGAAGAACAATTTCTCGACATTTATTAAGATAACACGAAGTGCAGTTTCTATTTATTTATTTAATTTAGAAGTGTAAAGGCTGATCAAGAAGGTGCCAAATGCTTGTCATAGTCACATCTTTGTTCTTCCTCTTCATGGTTCTGTTTCAGTTGTTTCTGCTTTTTTTGAAACCTAAATATACGCTAAATAATTTTACTGCTAAATGGATGTTTTACCTGAATATCTGAGTGAAGATTCCAGCCATTTGTGAAACTATCTCATCATTAGCCTCTTTCCTGTCGTTCACTCTTGAACCGACGTTGATTTATCTGAGGGAGATAATGATTGACATGAAGCGGCAAGTTGAGAAACGCAACAGTAACTTCCACAGTAAAAGGCTTTTGGCACGTGTTCAGTTCCATAGATTAAGCCATTCCACGGACTCTTCTGAGAAGCTTGCATCTTCTCAATGTGAAGTGATCCTCTTTATCCTCAATATCGTATATGCTGCTCTTTTGTATTAAAATATTGGATGTTTCTGAAGTCCCTACATGCGTCCTGTTCTGCTACATGGATTGCTGTAGGAAAAGTTGCTTTGCAGTCAGTCCAGCTGCTTTATTTGTGAGACTGGAGACAGCAAAGCAGGCTATTAAATGATCAGTGGTAGAATTTAGAACAAAAATAGGGAAACATCAGATACTGGAATTGCTCAATCATATATTTCTTGCACTTTCTTGCTACTGCTTTCATGGAAATTCTAGAATCATGTTCATCTTTAGCATTTATCTTTTCTTTCCTCAATGTCCATCATACTTGATTAAAATCAGCCTGCTAAAGACTTGTTTAAACTAAAGCTTTGGGAAACAAAATTCTTCATGGTCAGAGTTTTGAGAGGACATAGGCTAAAAACTTCCTAACAATTCTTGTAGGAGTCTAAGATTCTCAAAATAAAAGATAAACTGGGAAAATTCGAGTAGAAAAATAGAGTGCTCTGAGATGCAATAGTCCCAGAACCATGAATCTCTGGAGATTGGGAGGATGTTGGATTTGGACACTGAATCGGAGAATTTTTCGGTCTGTCCCAGCATGGTTCTTTCCCTTAACTGATACATTGGAACAGACTTTTACTGTGTTTTGTGTAACTCAAATGCTCCTTTCATGACTTTGCAACTAAGTTTTTCTCTTTGCCATATCATCTGTCTTGTTATAAGATTAAAAACACATTTAAACCAAGAAATCGTAAATCTCACTTCCCTCTTCCTGCTACCTTTCTCCAGTTTAGAAATTGAGTTGGGAGAAAAGATCATTCTTTTCTCTGTAATTTTTACCTGTTTACAATATACAGTCATTTTCTGAGTGTTCAGAAAGATTGCACTTTTATTTTGTGAGCAAACTATGATGTTGAATCACATTCTGGGCATGATATTTGAAATAATTTTCTGTTTGTTTATTTGACAGGTCCTTGACCAGTATGAACGAGAAGGGTTTAATTTCCTAGCTAAAGTCTTTAATTCTTCGCATTCCTTCTTAGAAGACTTGACAGGTCTAACTTTATTGCACCAGGAGACACAGGCTGCTGAGGTAAGAAAGTACAATTTGAATGTTAAGAATAAACAGATGACAGTAAAGGGTGCTTGGGTTTGTGTTCAGCAGTATAACCATCTGATTAAATGGATCACTGAGAGAATCGAGCAGTGGTGTATTTGATTTGCAGAGTGATTTACACGAGCCATATGCATATTCCATCCAGGGAGATACACTGTGTCCTCTGAATGTTATAGAGTAAGAAATATTTTTGAATATGAGAGATCTTTCTTTTTTAAGAAAAGATGATGGGATGCATGTTGAGAGCCAGTTAGAAACATATAGCGCTATCATTATTATTACTTATTTTAGAGTAGTCACATTTTGTGAAATTACAGGAATATTTTAAGTAACAGTTGTTGCTTGACAGTTCGGAATTTATATCAGGAAAGTTCCCGTCTTTTGCCTCTTAGGGTGTGTTTCACTGGCAGTGTAAACTGCAGTTTGTGTGAGCGTTACAGGTACCGTATCCAAGCACTGGTAATAGGTAGCACAGAGCCTGGTGTGTGCTAAGAACCACAGTATTTACACAGATTCCTAGGCGGGTTAGACATGCTCTTAAATCAATTGTAATGTTTTATATCTGAGTTTTCAAGTAGTGTTTTTAAAGAAACCAAGTGACTTGTGTTATGTGGTGTAAGGAAATCAGTTATTATTTTAGGTCAGTCTAAAATGTAATTATTATGCTGCTTGATGGATTAAAATATGGAGAAAACACTGCTTTTTATTTGTCTAGTGACAAAGTAATTTGGAATGAAATTGGGGTATGTTTTGTTCCCATGGGCCTTCATAAAGAATTATATTTGTCCCATAAAAAATTAAACAGGTGTCTGTCTTGAGGTTGAGTTTTAATAAGGATTAGTAGTTCTCACTCCATCTTTGAATGTCTGTGCAGTTCTACATCTGTAATTTAATTTTGATGGAGTCATATCACATGGATGTTTCTAAAGCTGGCTTTGAGAAGTGATTATTCGGTTACTGTAGCCTGTGTAAATGGTATAGCTGTTTTTTCAGCTGGAAACAGCTCCGTAAGGTTTGTGGGGGGATAACGATGACTTGACTTTCCGTTTCATGTTTTAACCTTTTAAAAGAAGAGGGGCAGATGCTGGAGACATTAAACTGAAATACCTGACACATTCTTAAATCAGCATGGTGATATCTAGGAAAAAAAATAATTTTTATATATATATGAGAGGGATCCAAGAAAGGAAGAGAAATCGCCTTTAACAGGTGCTAGACGTTAACAGTAACAGTGGCTGTCGTCTGATTGCCATACCTGACTTTTAGGCTGCTAAGAACTGTCTAGGCTGCTAATGACAGCATTAGAACATTAGAACAAACTACAGTTGCCCAGTATTATTTTGCAGATATTAATTAATACAATTCTTTTGCAGCTTGAGAATGTATGCAGGTGTTATTTCATACAAATACTCTTTACAAAAATGTAGAGTCTGGTGTGAGTTTATTGCAACTTAATGGAGTTCAAAGTTGAACACAAAAAGTAGAATTAGCATTCTTTCAAAAATATTTGGGTTCACAGCAGGGTTTATGCAGTGAAATCATTGCTCATATGTGGAAAGCTGACATGCAAAATATTTGCAGAGCTAATGCATTCAAATTAGCCCAGCCACTGTAGAACCAGTGACTTTCCTTGATTGCTTCCCTGTAGCATTGCTGTATTCTGTAAAAACTCATCTGTTTTGTCAGAATTAACTACTTTAAAGTGTCTTGATGAAGTTTGTATTTATGACTGGTAAGGTCTAATAGGCAGATTGTTTGCACATTCTGAAGCATGCTTAATTTCTTTGGATTAAAAAGCCTATTCTTTAGTTACATTTTCCTGCTGTTGCCTGAAAAATAAAAGGTGGTTTTGTTGTCCTCTACTACTCCCTCAATACACAATCTGGGGCAGGTTTTAAAATTTTTAGGTGCAGAAGAGAGTGCTTT